CTCCCCTGGTAGAGCTGGTGCCCAATTTACCAAGACTGAGTCCTTTCTGCAGTGGCCATGGGTTGGACTCCGACCTGTGGCCCTTTTCTGCGTTAAAGGCAATTAAAAATATATGTATTCAAAATAAAGTTCTAATAGTTCTAATTTATTAGTCACATTGACATATCAGTCAATCAAAAGAAAGTTTTTCCTTGCTGCTGTGCTAACTCATAGTGGGAACTGTTGGGTCTCTGTAAATAATTTTATTTGATTACGGTCTAAACCTGCTCTATTTGAAAAGTGTCCTGAGATAACTTATGTTATTTATTGGCGCTATACAAATAAAATTTTATTGAATTGAAAATATCACACTGCATGGAACTTACATTATCTGTCATGTATAGTTTTGTCTTACATGAAAGTTTACCCTGATAAAAAGTATATTTTTTTCCTAGGCGGTTTTGCTGATTGGAGAACAAGGAACAGCCAAGACTGTTATCATTAAGGGCTACATGTCAAAGTATGATCCTGAGACCCACATGGGCAAGAGTCTCAACTTATCTTCTGCTACCACGCCATTCATGTTCCAGGTAAATTAGGACTGTCTTTTTACTCTCCTCTTAATGAGTCTAGATTAAACACCTTGCTGTCTCATTCTTTGCAGTTTTATCTGAAGATGGGTAGCTCTACATCTGTGTTAAATTTTCATGGATTATCATTAACTTGTGAATGACTATTGATCGACATCTGGTCTGATTAATACTATGCAGGCGGCAGGAAGGACCACTGTTTTTTCCCTTTACATGGCTAAGCTGCATATTGATCAAGCTGTTACTATAGATTATGTTTGAGTGGAACTTGCTTGATCTGTCCTTAGCCTTGTGCTTTTTACCGTCTTTGTTGTCACCGTATGTTGCTGTTGTCTTATGTTTTCTTTGTTCCACCTGTTTCTTATTTAGAGGACAGTAGAGAGTTATGTGGATAAAAGAATGGGGACCACTTACGGACCCCCTGCCGGGAAGAAAATGTCCATTTTCATAGATGATATCAACATGCCTGTCATCAATGAATGGGGAGATCAGGTTAGTCAACATCAGTGAAATGAAATATTGAAATACTGATTTGCTATCTAACTAAATTAATGACAAATTCCTAGTAATTTCTAACTTTTAGATATTTTTTGATTTATTATATTTTAGACAATTTAATTTAGCACATTTCTGTGACTTAATTAAATGATACAATTGAATGAACTGATGATTACAGGGAATAAGAATGCTAACATGAACTAACAAATATACCTCTTGATTAAAGCTTACTTATATGCTTCATCAAAGGTAACTAATGAGATTGTCAGGCAGCTGATGGAGCAAAATGGGTTCTTTAATCTGGAGAAACCGGGAGAGTTCACCAATATTGTGGACGTTCAGTTTCTGGCAGCCATGATCCATCCAGGTGGAGGCCGTAATGACATTCCACAGAGACTGAAAAGGCAGTTCTCCATCTTTAACTGTACCCTGCCCTCTAATGCTTCCATTGACAAGATATTTGGTGAGTAAAAAGAGTGCAGTGGAATCATTGAATGTGTGGTATCAAACATTTGATTAATGTTAAGGAATGTGTTTACCACTAATATTGATGATACTACAGTGCCAACTTATATAATAATAAAACTGAAGTGACAAACTGACAATGATGAAAATCATATTTTCCTTGCAATATAAGTAATTAAATGTATTTCCTCATATGATAGTATTTGTTGCTACAGTAATGAATAGATAAGGTTGACTCAAAATATAATACCATTACCCTTACAGTGTGTACTTTGTTTTAAGCTAATATATTGATAAATAAATGATAAGTTTTTTGTGACTTTCCCACCTTCAATTTAATAACCACCCCACCATCGACCCTTTTTTCTAGGTGTGATTGGTGTGGGCCACTTCTGTGCACGTCGCAGTTTCACTGTTGAGGTTCGGAGTACGGTATCCCATTTGGTGTCTCTGACCCGCCGTCTCTGGCAGTTGACCAAGGTCAAGATGCTTCCAACTCCAGCCAAGTTTCACTACATCTTCAACCTGAGGGATCTGTCCAGGATCTGGCAAGGCATGCTTAATACCAATGCTGAGGTGGTCAACTCTGTCCAGGTGAGAACATGGATAGATTTTGAAACTTGTGAAAACTGATTTCTGGACCATGTATGTAGGTTTTTTACAAGAAAGCATGTGTATGTCAAAGATTTCGGAACTATCTAAAATAACTGAATCAAAAGTTAAACCGACAGTAACAAGTAAGTCTCTCACTGCAACAAACCCAAATGCAAAAAAGTCTTACACAAGTAATACTTAACATATGCCAGCCTTTGTTCAAGTACACACTACTGCATGTACATGCAGGTTTTACAGTAAGCAGGTTACTGCACTGCTATAACATCAGTAGTCTGGTAAACAGAGCATAGAGAGAAGTATGAAAAAAGTGTAGAGTAGTGTAGTGGATTGTGGTTCAGAGTACTGTAAATACTAGTAGTGCCGAGACCATGACAGAGAATGATCAACATCCCTACCTATGTGGAAGAGTAACTGTGACTACATCATGATTAAGATATAGTATATTTACAGCATTGGAGAGAGACAGAAGTGTTAGTTGGCAGGGAAGAATTGAAAATTCTAACATTGCAAGCTCAGTGTAATGAAATATGTCTTTTACCCAAGAGTCGAGGCAAATATGCTCAACATCCCTGCTGAGGCTTCCAACTCAACAAAGAAGACATAGACTACACTAGGCAAGACTAGAACAAACTAAAGTAACAGAATACAATATAGAATATAAATAAATGTAACTTTCTCAGAGTTTTATTTCCTGATGAGTTTGTTTTATGTTCAGAATTCCTACAATCAATACATCTAATCAATGTCTGCTTAATGGATTTCAGTGTAAGCAATGATGCAGTGTGTGTGATGCTCAGTGCATCATCAAACTCATGCAATGATTCAATTAATTAATATAACATTTCCTCCCAATCAATGCTATTTGCCATATTGCCTATGCTCTCAGTGTCTTGCTGTCCTGCTGGCTTAATTAAAAAAACACGATTTCCAGGTGCTGCTGGCATTGTGGAAGCACGAGTGCAAACGTGTGATAGCTGACAGATTTACCATGCCTGAGGACGTGGAGTGGTTTGACCAGGCTTTGGCTAAGCTGGTAGAAGAGGAGCTTGGCGAGGACCACAAGAACATGGTTGACTATGGACTGGACAGATACTTTGTCGACTTTCTACGAGACGCACCTGAGGCTACAGGTAACGTTCAGTCAGTAACAGCACTGCAATATTTCAACAGTGTTGTTGTACTACTAAAACAATACATTGGATTTGGTTTTGTATTTTGATGATTTTAACGTAGAATGTTCTTTCCTCACAGGGGAGGAGCCAGAAGATTCAGACTTTGATTTGCCCAAGGTGTACGAGCCTATGGAATCGTTTGAGAGTTTAAAGGACCGTCTGAACATGTTCCTGAGCCATTACAATGAAAGCATCAGGGGTACTGGCATGGACATGGTCTTCTTTCAAGATGCTCTGATACATCTGGTCAAGGTACTCTACAGATGTTTAGCCATACTAATGTGATTAAAGTAAAGAAATGGTAATCAACTATGGGGTGCCGTTTGTAAAGCGGCTCACGCTGAAAATAAC